GTCTGAGAGACACTGCCACTCTGAGAGGCTCTTTTTATACCCAATCATGTTGCCAATTGACCTGATAAGATGCAAATTGGTCCTCCAGCTGTTCCTTATATGTACATTTAACTTTTCCGGCCTCTTATTGCTACCTGTCCCAACATTTTTGGAATGTGTAGCTCCCATGAAATTCAAGATGAGCCAATATTTGGCATGACATTTCAAAATATCTCATTTTCAACATTTGATATGTTATCTATATTCTATTCTGAATAAAATACTGGAATTTCAACCTTCCACATCATTGCATTCTCTTTTTATTCACATTTTGTAGTGTCCCAACTTTTTTGGAATCGGGTTTGTATTTGAAAGCAGCATTAGTTTCACTATCCCAGTAACTGTCTGATAATGTCATCGTCATGAGTGGTGACTGTGGCCATCATTGTTTGACCCTTCTAGCTGCTGGGTGAGGGGGTTGCTATGGTAACTGGAGGTGGGGAGTATGGAGAGAGAGAGAGAGAGAGAGATTAGGGCCAAAAGACAGTCTAATCTGGTTTGCATTCAGATGACAGCGATGAGGATGATGTAGGTCAGAGGACTAGACCAGGACCTGGACTCCAGCAATTTATTTTCTAATATTTTATTTACTTTTATCTAATCACAGTTTGGAATCTAAAATAATAAAAACCAAAAACCCTTGCTGGAGTAAAAACTGACCCTGTTTGTGTTAAAACATAACACTGGTTTAACTGGAATCAGAGCCAAAACCAGCAGGCGCTCTGGATTCTGTGTTGGTGATATAAACTAAACTGCAGCTACGGTGAGCCACACTTAGATACATCAAGTTCCACTCTGTGATTTATTGTAAGTGTCTTCAAGATTTATAAAGAAATAGTGCTTTAACAATTAATGGGAATATGTGGACTTGGTTTTGATGACCCAGTTTAACCGGTATGGTGTTACAGGCTAGTAGTCCGAATCCCAACACCTGTCCAGAGTCCAAACCTAACAGTCAAAGAGGTTCCAAGATCCGGCGGAGATGAACAGGTGACTACCATAACTGAGGACGTGTAGCTGTCAGAGTTATCCAAAGTACGTTGAACTCACTTCCTAGAGCTCACTGGTGTCTGATGAACAAACTGCACAGGACTGAGATGGTTGCACATCTTCTTTAGCCTATTTATCCATCCATCCATTTTCCTCCACTTATCCGGAAACAGGTCGCGGGGGCAGCAGTCTAAGCAAAGATATCCAGACTTCCCTCTCTCCAGACACTTCCTCCAGCTCCTACGGGGGAATCC